AGCAAATGTGATGGCGATAATGATAAAATGACATGACAGGCATGGGGAAGGAAAGTACTCAGCAGTACCTCTTCCCTAACTTGTTCCAATTACTTAGGTTGTCTAAGGAAGGAGATCCCTCATCCAACGCCTTTTTAGTCTCCTGCTCATGTTCTGAGGTATGTCAGCTGTGGCCATGTCTCTTACAAGTTTGTTATTATGTCCGTTTAAATTTGTGTAAAATCGTTGATATAGGGTCGTTATATGTTGGTCAACTGTTGGAAAGTGGAGGTCAGTATGTAGAGTTTTGTTAGTCACGTATCAAGGTGCTTTTGTTATGAGTCACAATAATTTTGATTGGAACGTTTGAAGTTTTTGTAGATAGGTCTTTTTAGCGATGCCGTATATTTGTGATGAGTATGTCCATATGGGCTTAAGTAAGTATGTATATGTATTCAGTTTCTGTTTTAGTTTTAGTTATGAAGATTTGGCAAAAAGAGAGTAAAGTAGTTTGAGTCGTTTGTTAAGTGTCATGCGTTTCATTTTAACATGTGGGCCCCATGTCATCCTTCTGTCCAAGGTGAGTCCAAGAAGTTTTTAAATTAAGTAATTTATACTTTAGATTGACTAAAAAAATTACCCATAGATTAAATTATCCAACTAAGTTGCTACTAGTATTATCATTATTTATTTATTGAGTAACATAACATTCTGTCACGTGGGCAATGGTTATAGTGAGGTAAAACTGCATTCACACTATAAATACATATACATATAAATACATACAATATAGAATAACTATACAGAAGCAATATAACAATTAAATAATAATCAAAATGAAGAAAAAATACCATAGAATCAAGTATTTATAAACATTATAGTTCTTAAAAGCTAGAGTTGAAAACATCAAAGAATTGGCATAGAGATGAGGTTGGTTGGCTGTTAAGAAGTTAAGGCATAAAACCTGTAGATTATAAACGCCATTGATTAATTTTATATTTTTCTATATTTATTTATAATTATATCTGCTGGTGGTGCTTAAATAAATAAAAAAAGATAAAGAAAATACGTGAATATCATGGATAAAGTTGGAGAAGAGGATCATGTGGATATTAACCTTCTATAATAACAATTCTAAATCTACGCATAATCGTCGATCTCTAATAACAGTGAAGAACACCTTTGAAATGATCGCATTTGTCCGATATTTTGATTGGTTACCGTACAAGTAGTGTTGCCCAAAATCGGTCTTGGTCTTGCGCTTTGCAAGGCCAAGACATAGGTCGCCTAACTGTTTCAAGAGCAAGACCAGGATTGGTAAAAAAAAGTCGATTTTTTAAATAAAAATTAAGGTAAAATAGTTACTAATACTTGAAAATCTTAGTTACTATATGTTAATAATTGGTATAACCAATATACTTTTGCATTCAACTCCTCGAATCTTTCATTCGGGCTTAGTTAGGTTTCTCCTATCTAAAAAATTACAGTAATATCTCTATAGTAATAAGGTAATAAGTAACTGCAAGACTGTTCCGAGATTATTTCAAAAGACCAAGACTGAGTTTGCAAGACCAAGACTCGTCTCGGTCTCGCATTTGGGCAACACTACGTACGAGCATAAAATATCTTTAACTTAGTATTAAAAAACGTATAAGAATAATAAGCTCAGAGTTAGTCCTGTAAGCCCATAGTATTCATTTGTCTATGATCGATTTCTGTTAACTCAAGTTGACACAATATCCAAATCATGGCGAGAAAGAGCGTATAAAAGTTTTGTTGAGCTTGGCTCGTGCATTTTCCTATTTTTGGGAATACTCCATCTACATAAAGGGATCAGTACGAAGAAAGCGCCACACAAGCGGTAGTGTTGCTCGATATTTCATCAGGTACTCAAAGCTGCAAAAGTACTAACAACATAAGATTAATAGTATAATCCCTACCACCAAACCGAATTTCCAAAATAAACTATGCTATAAGTATAATTAATGTCAGAATATGGGCTTCACAGGTTTCCTGCTGTCCTTCATGGTGGAACCATTCAATCAAAATATTTGCATCAAGCTCGTCCGCGAACGTGGTGGAGAGCGATCCTTATTCGGAAGACCGTAATACCATAAAATTGGTGAAAATTTGATGAGGTTATTAAAATTAATTGTTATAGAGAAGTGCCTGCTAATGTAAATTTTCTATATATTATGGTCCCCATCTCCGCCAATAATTGAGAGAGAACGACCTCTTGGCATCTTCTTGAATCTTGGCATCTTAAAAGTAACCGAAAATAAACATGAAGAAGAGTAAAAGAAGTATATCTATAAAATGAGATTATTTTTATATATATTAATATGTATAATGAATTGTTAAATTTTCTAATAAAATGAATACATAGAAAAATTTAATTTCTTCTTCTCTCACCAGTATTAGTACAACTTTATTTTCTATATATTAACTATTTTTAATGTCAAATATTATGTTTTTCACGATAGAACGATATCTAACAATTTTACCCATCCATACTCCTCGTGCAAAATATATGTTTATTAAATAATGTGAAATGAAAACAAAATTAACCAATTTAAATAATCTCATATTAATTTTTAAATAAATTAAATAATTGTAAAAATATAATATAATAAATAAATGGGGCGCCAACATGCCAAACTTGTGTGACTCCTCTGACAGTGAAACACATTTTAACGGAATGCAGATCTTATGACACATTTAGACTTTCTTGTGACTTGACAAACGATTTACACTCTATTTTACAGGACAATGCGAATGAGGTTGATAAACTATTTTCTTTTCTGAAACGTTCTAAGCTAGAAAATAAAATCTAATTCTCAGTGAAAATAAGGCAATAATGACCCAAGTTGTTGAAGCCTTAAAATATAAAAAAAAACAAAAATAAAAATAAATGGGATGAAAATAAAATTAATATTAGATCTCTAGTTTTAAGTAACAATGTTCTATGATATGATGGAATAGTTTGCTCAAACTTGTGCAATTCGTAATATTAACAGAAAGCCTTGCTGCTGATATTGATAGGTAATACATGGGAATGACTGTTATCTGAAAGTAAACCAAAATAAATAATAGCTAAATATGTTATTATAAGCGCGGAAAGAAAATAATTAATAATATCAAATGTTAACTTGTTTCACATGTGTGCAAATACTCAGTTCAGATTTGCGACACCGTTAAATTTACTCCGCAGGAAATAAGCTGAGGGGATGTCCCCTTTTTTCAAAAGGTACTCGTGTGTTATTCTTGAGGGTCCAATTCTTAGTCGTGTTAGTATTATATCATTTATTCTTTTCAACTGGAGGTCCACTTGATTTGGTAATACAGAGACTTTTTACTTTTTTAAATATCTTCTATCTTAAGGCATGGCAAAGATACTGCTATTTCTCATGAACCTTTTTTTTTAAACAAAACGACCATTTTTTTTTTTTTTGTAAAAGCATCTTTTACTGCTTTTTAATCTATGATATCGACTAGCTAATTCCCTCTAAGCTCATCGGAGTGACCCATTGACCACAAAAAAACATTTTTTAATTGTTTGTCAATGGATTCATTAAGAAAGAACTTTATAGCCTTAAGGGTGGTTTCTGAGTCTGTACAAATTTATATTAGTTTATTATTATTGTTGAGTATATAAATACATCTATTAATTCTTTGTTAGAACAAGATAAAATAAATATGTGTTGTATTATTAGAATACACCTTGAAAGTTATTAAATAATTTGTTAAAACGATAATTGGCTTGAATGCTGTTCATTAATGTGTAGTTAAGCACATCAATATATATATTTAAAATGCATTTATTTATACTTTGATGTATAACGATATTAACATGATGATAAAAAAAAAAAAAAAATTAGGAGAAAAGAATTCATTATTTATCAGTAAATGCATTACAAAAAAAAAAAAAAATGTATGTTACGAATAAATAGTTTTTTAATTTGTTCAAACTTGTGAAATTCACAATGTATGTGAAGAAATGATTTTTGTTAATTGGAAAAATCTAAAATAACTGTACACAAATTTCAATGTAAATCATAATAAATAACAACCAAGTCTAGTATTATAAGGGCGGTAAAATATATAATAATAAGTGTTAAATAATATTTGTTTTTAATTTTTTTATCTATGATATTGATCCCATGAGTTAATGATTTATTTAATTAAATAATATCGTATCAACTGAATTACAATGTAAAATTAAAATATGTGTTATCTTTTATTATAGTTATCGACTTTAAAATTGACTAAGTATATTGCTAAAATGATGTAAGTTTTTTGTAGTAACCTATGGTGTATGAATGTATTATATTATTATATAATAATAATACGTGTAATATTATCATATTATTATATGTTGTCTGTACATTTTGATAGACTTTACAATTTCTCAATTTTATACTTAACTGTTCTATTTGCATTATCTTAATTTTACTATTTATTTTCATTTCTTATATAACTTCATATTCCTTTTTTCTGTTTTACATTTTATTCTAAGATTCCCTTTTTATACTTATGTCATCTTTTTTGATTCTGTTTTACTCATCATTCCACACTTTGTAACGGTTATTATTATTTATCTCTTAGTTCTCTACTATTGTCATTATTCTACCAACTTCATTTTACTTTAATTTCTTTTTATCTACATTACTCATGTTTCTCATACCTTGTTATCTGGTTTTTTTCTTAGCCCTGATGAAGGCCTGAACTTCAGGTCGAAACGTCGGTACATGTCAAAATATATATTATCATTTATTTTTGCCTTCTAATTTGACTGATAACTCTAACTATTCATTATTCACGACAGTCAACCATTTATCCAAAATTATGAATTAATTTATACTTTGATGCAAAATGATTAACATGAAAATTAACAATGACGATAAAAAAATAGAAGCAAACAGTTTATTATTTATTAGTGAATGCATTAAAAAAAAATATATATAAGAAATTGACAAAAATAAAGTTAAAGTTGAAGATGATATGAGTGAGGTGTGCCCTAGGTGCAGCTAGAAGAGGGAGGGAGGTGGGCGGAGCCTGAGAGGGGATTGGTGGAGACGGGCCACGCCCCCCTTGGAGCCCGCTGGTGGAGGGAGCTCTCCCTCAGAGTCAGCTTAGTGAGTGCCGGGTGTTATGGTAAGATGTGGTCGCCACTCGTGGTGCTCGCCGGACTTCTCGCCCTCGGCACCCTCGCCCACGTTCAGAGCAAGGCCCGACCTGGTCGCGGCCGCGGAAGCAACTGGTGGTAAGTAGTAAGCATTATACCATCTCCATCCTCTCTGTTTGTACTCTCTGTCTACACCGTGCATGTCTCTCGAGAGCTGTCCGTCAGGAAGAAGGAACACTCTTAAAAAATGTTATCATCAGAGAGGTTCATCGAGCCTCTCTCTATCCAATATTGTCTGTGATCAAGTCAATTTGATTGACTGTAAAAAACAAGAATTCGAAAATGTCATAATACATTTTGTTTTCCCTCTCTAAGTGTTATTTCTTATCATCTTGTCATGGCATCACTAACGGATCCAGGATTTAATTTTGGGGGGACTTCAGCCCGAAAGATTTTTTTTCATATATATATATAACGATAATTAATTTGAAAAAAAAAGAGAAAGAAATGAAGTACCTATATGAAATGGTGTTTAAGTGATTCTTGAAGTCCTATTAAATGTAATTACACGAACAATAATACTTTAAGATATAGTTTTTAATATTTTTTTCTATAAAACATGGTTATATTTTACCGTTTTGGGAGGGGAGCTTCAGAAAAAAGACCCCCGAATACCGAAAGATCCCCCTCCCCGTAAATCCGCCTGTGCATGCCATTCCTAATTTATATACGGAATTACATTTTGCAAATGACATTATTAACGGTATATCGTTTACATCATATTTATCTATACATAAATAGATTTCTTAGATACCAAACATCAATGCTGTTTTTAAAAAAAACAATTTTTATGAATATTCCAAAAATTTGCAAGTGTTATCAATTAATTATTCATTTTTTTAATTTTTGGTACAACTATAATAGGAAATGTACATACCTCAAAATTTAAGGCAAAAACATTTTTTATATATTTTTTTCTTTATAAAATAATTTAAGAACAATGTCAGTCAAGTTGTATCGTTCTTCAAAATATACAGAATCATATTCTTCAAATGACATTCATATTAAATAAATAATGCCAGAGTTACAATTTTAAAGATATTATTTCTTTGACATCAATGCATTCCTTAATAAATTATCATGATAGATATTTATAAAGTTTTCTTTATATATATTTTCTTAAATAAATAAAAATAAAAATGTGAAAAAAAAAAACGAACATATCTACACACTTTGACGAAAATGTATTTTCTGTTATATTTTTTTGCTTTATCGACCAATTTTAGGGTATCCATTAAAAAAAAAAAAAAAAAAAAAATAGTATGAAGTTATTTAAAATATCCTAATTCCAGAGAAACAAAATTTCGATAAAACTAATCCTGAATTAATTTATACTTTATTATACCAAAACAAAATATTGATTACTACCCTTTCCGACCAATCGATTTATTGTCAATGCAAAAAAAATTTAAGCAGGAGCCTGCTATAAAAAAGAATAAAATGGTATTAAAGAAACTGTGCTTTATTTAAAAATCGGTTATTTGAATATAAATATGATTATTAATATTTTAACAGTTAAAAGTATTTTTTAAGTTGCCGCTATTTCTTTTTCGCCATCGCAAACGTAATAAATTTGTTTCATTACACAGTTTCGTTATATTGTAAATTTTAAAATTATGCTATTTTAAAATATTATTAAAGCACTGGTTGGTTTTTATTACAGATTTTTATTTCTTTTGTTTTTGTCTTATTGTAAATATGTGGTATGAATGAGTCTCACATAGTTCCAATACTCAATCCAAAATGTATCAAATGGCAAAATGTATTATTTCTAATAAAATTTAAAAAAAGTATTTTCCGAGGCATTATTTACATTTGAAAAATTCGAATAGAATAAATTAGCATAACAGCGTTGCAAGAAATTAAATGACCTGTATAACGAAACCAGTGCAGTCGTTTCGAAAATTAATTTTGTTTTCATCGAATGTAATCCTTACCTGTTAAAAAAAAAGCGCAGTCATAATGAAAGCTCTAAAATTAATTTTATATGGTCTATGATTTATATATTTGCATTTATTTTTTTTAATATTAGAATACATTTCTGTGAACATGGATGTTATCTATGTTATCTATTAGGTGATATTATAAATTCATCTATTATTTTTTATCGTAAATGGCAAGCATAGTTAGATTATTTGTCTTAGAAATTATAAAATTCATCTTGAAATAGTGTAACAATTATAATATAGCTTTTTAAACATTAAATTGATTTTTTTTATTTAAAAAATTCCAATTAATAATTATTTTTTAAAAATTAAATGATTTAATTTTATTAAATCTACCCTCTAGGGTAGAGGCGAATACAAATATAAAAAAAAAAAAACATTATTCGTTAAATTAAATCAATTATACGGTATATAAATTAATTTAATTAGTTTTTAAAATAATTTATTAATAACTTCATGTGAATATTTAAAAATTTCTTGGTGTGAAGCATATAAAATATAATGTCCTTGTAAAAATTGGAATAACTATTAGGAATGAGTATAGCAGCTTTTGTATTTTACACAACTTATTGAGATGAAATTGATGAAGATTTATTTATTTATACCAAATTCTTTTTTTTTTGGATTTAAGATTTTAGACAAAATCATATTTTGCCAAACCTCATTCGTTGTTAGTTTTTATAAATATTAAATAATTAATAATACTATAATAATTAAATAACTGTATAAAATAACTGCGTCCCAGATTCTAAACAAATTACGTTATGGTACCTAATTTGGATGTTTCATTTAAATGCGACGCAGTAATTTAAATTCAATTATGCGTTTGTAATGGAGCCTAAATTAAGTTGTAGATCAGTCCACAATGTACAAGATTCATTTATCACTTTAGAGAAATTCATTAGTCCATCAATTGTTTTAGCCTCCGTGCGTTGATTGATAGATCAGATTAGGCTGTTCACATTCTCTGGATTCTAGAAAAAATACACTTATGTATTATATATTATTAATATTGTAGGACCAATATTTTATAATTAAAACATAAGAATATTTCTTCGCGATTAACCTAATGTAGCTATTGTTGCTTTATGGATTTGCATTATTCTAATAGTCGAAGTGAATGTTATAAACTAATTAATTTTATCACGATTGGATAGTAATAAAAAAATAAATAAAACAAATTTTTTTTGCAAAATAATTAATTTATTTATCAACTAATCACACCGGAAATAGGCCCGGGACAGGAAAGATGGTTCAACTTTTATCTTGAGCGGAATACTTCAGAATTTGTTTCTCGGTTATGTGTTTGGATGATCAGTTAAATAGTAAAATAAAAATAATTTTCAAGATATTTAAGAATTAATATAAATTACATTTAAGAATTACAGATAATTGGGATGTTTCCGTTCTGATTTTGTTTAAATAAAAAAATTAAATATTTTATTATTATAAAATTATTTATTTTCTTATTTATAATAACAAAAAAAAAAAAAAAAAAAAACGGGTAGCTCTACATCCCATGAAGGGTCTTGGGTTCAGTACTTTGTAAGAAAGTACTGTTTTTTGGTCAACGGTTGTGCGAGCAGGTAGTTTGACCGAAATGACGCTCAACCGCTAGGTTTTCCTCTGAATTAAGTATTTAATTAAGAGTGCCCGCTTTATAAACCTGGATGTGCCCTAGGAGGGTCTCTCGATTGTAGGGTCGATCTGCGATCGATGAAACAGAATAAATAATTTATCTCTTATCAGCCGGACTGGAATCTGCGACCTTGAGGATTTTAAGTTAGCACCCTTGCTTGTTTATTATAAATATCTTTTTTTATTTATAGAAATTCAACAAATTATCTTGTAAATCGATTCGTAAGGGAAATAAATCAGATACATCGATTACAAAAACAATATCGGTTAAGTATAACAGTATATTTAAATGTCAATTTCAAATCAAATATTTTTAAAATTCAATTTAGATTATTTATGAGGCGCTTGCGATTCCATTGAACTGTTCTGAAAAAACAATTTTCAAAATTATAATTTAAAAGTGTAATATGTTTATTCCTAAAACACTAATATTCCGTTTGACTTAAAATAAACATTAAAAAAAATTTTAAGATAGTTAAAATTATAAGTCCGCATGTTATGGTGAGGATAAATCCATATTAATATGTAAACACATATTATATTTATTTACGTTTATGAAAAAATTATATCTATATTGAAAATTATAAAGGAGAAAATAATCAGTGGCGCTGCATTTTAATTTCACAACTAAGTAGAGCTTGACAATAATATCAAATGGTAAATGAAGTAGTTAATAAATGTTTACCTGAGCTTGTTTATATATAGCATAACCAATATGGACAAAATGAATTAGTTACCGTTGAGGTACTGCATTGATAAGGACAAGGCTGAACTGGCGCATATGGAGCCGTTGTCACACCATAACGGTTGTCGTATCTGGACCAGCATAACTGCGTTGTATTTAAATAAAAATAAAATTATATTATGTAATGCAGTAAATATTTATTTTTTTTTAATTCACAATACAATCGATTTGAGTCTTTACTTATATTTGCGATGTCCGCATTAACCAATCAAAAAATTTCATTCAAAAATATAATTGATTCAATGATAAGTTAATTTTAAAAACTCCATTAAAATTTTAATTTATTTGAGATCTTGGATTGGTAATCAAATTTTATTTTTGCTCTGTTTAGTATTTATTATCAAAATAGTACGAATTTAGGGATACTTATAGAATCTCTGAAAAATGGATATCGCATTACTATATTAATAAAAAAAAAACTTTAGAACTTTAGCTAAACCAGTAAGCTTCGACAGAATACTAAGAAAAAAAATTGAGATTAGATTTTTTTTAATTGATTAATTGTCATTATTATTTTTAATGCAATTTTTGAGGGTAAAACATAACTTGAAACATGAAAAAGGCAACTTATTTATTATTTTATAATTGAATGTTTAAAAAGATTATAGATTGACAAAAGGAGCACGAAAAAGAAAAAAAGAGAGAGAGAGAAACTGTAAATAACTCTAATGGGTCCAATATTTAATTTTGGGAGGCCCGACAATTTATATATACATAAAACGATAATTACTTAAAAATAAAATAAAGAA